CGTGATGTGTAATATTTTACAGGCGTCTTACTGTGATTTTCTGGTTAATGTAACTTAAGCCTGCTGGTTTGCTGGTTCAGAGGCTGTAGCACACCTGTGTGATAGGATTGTACTTCAGCATCTGTGATATTGAAGCTTTACTCAGACCAGTCTTAAAATTTCTTTTTCTAGGTCATGTTTTGTACTAAAGATTACATCACTTAGCATTCTAAGGATGTGTCAAGTTTAATTTTTTGTTTTTCTTTTCAGAAAGCTATAAAGGAAAAGGACATACCAATTGAAGGCCTGGAGTTCATGGGCCCAAGCAAAGGAAAAACGGAAAACTCCTCCTGACCTCAGCTGTATGAATGGAGTCACTAATATGAGCCTTTGGACTAAGCAGCATCATCAGGCTTACAACTAGAGGCCACCTGGATAAGACTTTCGTTAAGGTGCTTTCTAGGAAGCGAGAAGTCTTCTCTGCTTGTAAAATCAAACAGCCACATAAAAAAAAAAAAAAAAGGCTGGATGGTGTCAATTCACTTCAGTGAATTTTGGTGGTGGTTCAGCATCTAACAGCATAAAAAGCCGTTTGAACTAACTTCCTATTGAATGTACTCTGTAATGGGAGAATGCCTATTAGAGCGGGCTGAGATAGTACTTGCTTTGTGACCTATTTCTCCTGCTTATTTATATAACACTTGAAAGTGTTTAAAAATAATATGAAAGGGGTTGATTTACTTTGTCTCTTCTCTATGCTGCTGAATTTTCGTGGAAGAAGTTTGGTTTATATGATCCTGAATGGTGAAGGGCTAAAGTGTCTTTTTACATAAGCAACAGAGATGGTATAAAAGCTGCAACTGGGCCTACAATAACTAAAATAAATGTAATCAAGTTATATTTTATTTAAGTAGATAACTGTCCAGTAGAATCCAATTTTGATCTCTAGGGGGGACAGAGGCGGCCTGCAACAGAAGCTGCAGAGAACACGTTTAATGCAGAGGCTGCTTCTTCAGCCTTTTCTGAGGTACCGAAATGCTCCTGAACTTGAATTCTCTCTCCTTTAGCATTACGTGTTCCCGCAGTAACGCTGCAGCGCAGCCCTCGCCATCCTTTCTGCACCACCACAAAGCACCAGGCTGGCCATGAGACTTCTGCTTGTGGTAGTTAAAGCATGTTCTCAAGTGCATGAGACTGCTTGTACAACATCAGTACGGGGAGGAAACGCAGCACTTCAGAAACAAGCTGTTGGCACTTAAACTGCTGGGCCATCAGGTGTGAGTAAAAATAGTAAGCGAAGAGAAAGGTCTTTCTAAAAGCATCATAAATAGTGTTTTGGGGACTGTCATATGCAGCTTTTCTTTTTTTAAGGGGTAACATATAGAAGCAGTTTGCTTTTCTGTGATCTTGCCATAGGAATAAATGTAGTGTGATTTTGTCAGCTTTAAAACAACTGCACCCATCAGTGCCTTGATCTGTGCTTTTAACACAGAAAAGCTTGTCTTGGCAGTCATTTTATTAGTATGTGGATGAACTAAATTGCATTGCAACACAGGGAAGGGTGTCCCGCAGCACCCACCTGGAGATTCTTACTTGCCATCCATCACTCCTTCCAGCAGCAAGAAGACACATCAGCTGCTGCATTCTTCTGTTTGGGAAAAACAGTATTACTGACAGCTGAGACAGAGCTCTCTCTTTCGTACATGCAAAAAATATAGACATTGCAGAAGGAATTGATAAATGGCTGACTTGTGGAAAAGAAAAACTTGAAAATTAGTACTGTACTGGGACAGACTCGGGGCTTTAGAATTGTTAACTGTGGAGGATAATTAAGCTCTTATAGGTTAAGAAGCTTCTGAGTGACACCATATGTTAGGCAGACATACACAACAGGGAAAAACTGTGTTTTCATTTGTAACACCTGTATGACAGGCTTTCTGCAACCAGGCTGCTGCTTTATGAAAAGCAGTTGTGAGCAAGATGTGCTGATACACAAGAAAATTTTAAGAGTTGAAGATAAACATTGCGAAGGCGCACAGAGCTAATTAAAGATCTTTGCCGCCACTCCCTCTCCCAGAAGGGGCTAAGAAAAAATTGCCTTCCTGACTGTTAATAAATATTGCAATAGCTGATAATGGAGAATGTTATACTGAATTTTAATCTACAGTATTAGCCCAATACCTGTTCATCTGGCTGTGAGCTGTGGGTTTACAGTAATCAGTTAAACCAGACATGAAGAATATGAAACTGGGTAATGTCCTACGCTGTGTGTGTTCCTGTTAGCGTTATAAGGTAGAGGAGCAGGTATTAACATTCACAAAGACAAACCCCTTTGCTCCTGCTCTGTATCCTGTGGGAAGCCTCAAGGTTTTAAAGAATAACAAAAAAGTCAGATCCTAAATTCAAGTTCAGAGTTGTTTATTTTGAAGGACCTTTACACAAGTACAGACAGAGGCCACAGCACCATTCAGCTACATTGCAGAAGGAATGTAGAGTTTCTTAAATGATGGTTCCCACAAAACATTCTGGTCCAAGATGGGAAGAGCCAAAATTCTGGCTGCGGTCAGAATCTTAGTTTTCATCTTCATAACCGGTTGGAAGAGCATTAACATGGGGGTTGTGGAATAGAGTTTTGTTCCCGTCACCCCAGGGGAAACGCTGTTGAAAGAAGAAAGCAAGCAATCCAGTGACAGCTAACTGGGTGATCTATACAGCACAGGGAATGAACAGCAACATGGTCTCAAACGATGGGCTGATGAATTAACCAAATTGGCATCTGTTTCTGGGCTGCAGGATGCAAGAGCTGGGAGCCACTATATCTAGACAAGGTCGCTGGTCTCGCTGAAACATCAAGTGTGCCACACTATGGGGCCCCAGTTTTGAGAATTTGGGATCTCCCCTGTTAGCTTTTAGGTCTGTATTAGCGTAAGGTAAACACAGCAGCTCTAGGGCTGAAATGTTTTTCAGCAATACATTAGCGGGATTACTCGGGGTGGGAAGGGCTGTGAGTACCACGGGTATTTCAGCAGAGCTAGGAGAAGCTTTTGCTGCCTCAGAAAACGAGCTGTGAATTCAGATCACAGCTACGTATGCAGCACCTCACATAGCAGCCAGGAAAGCGAGATGCTGTAGTGTTCTGGGATGAAACTCTGCAATCACACTAAAAAAGGGCCTTTAAACAGAGCAGGCGAAGGTACCTTGGTCCTGATCCGGAGGTGAGCGTAAGGAATGAACTCGGGTCTCTCGTGCTCGTGCTGTGATTTCAGGTAGCAGTTCAGCATGCACACGGCAACGCCGGGCAGGGCCACCACGAAGGTCAGGAGCTTCCAGAGGCGGGCTAGCGGGAAGCGGTACGCGCGTCAGAACCACCGCCGCCGCCTCCGGCACCCTCCTAACGGGAGAGCTCCCCTCGCGCTCCTG